TCATCTCCAGCTGCATCGTTACGCTGGTTATCTGAAGAAGGTCTATCAAATACCTCACAATATAAGTCAACCGCCAGCTTAATTCTCAGTTGTTCAATTTTTGCAACGCAGAGCCTAGACATGTCTGTCATCGTACTCGCATGGCACTCTATGAACTTGAAAGTATATAAACTTGTGTCCTGAAAATTGCTTACCTAGAGTAAAACATTTGTGATTAGTCAGCCAATAAAACATTTGTGATTAGTCAGGCATTATTTGTGCATATGGGATTGCTAAAGTCTCATAATCTGATAATTTGTCTGGGTATCTATCGCTGTCCCATATGCTTACCAACCCTTTCTTTAAGTCAAATATCACGGCAACCTACTGTTTGTTATGCCAACATTTTGGCGCATAGACATAGTCTATGTCTTTGATCATCTTCTTCCCTGTGTTGCCAATATCCGGCAATGTACCATTGATGTAGCCTTCAATGCTTTTGTTGTCGTAGTTGTACCACTTCTGACTCCACCGCCATCTTTCCCAACATTGTTTGAGTGTCAGAAGGAAATGTACTCCATAGATGGCAACTCTACTGTTTGCAAAACTTTTGGGACTATTTTTTCTCCTTGTTCGAAGCAAATGCATAGCAGACTCCATATGCTGCAATAAAGCAAAAGATATAACTTTTTACTTTTAAACTATGAATGCGTATTATCAAAGATAACAAAGTGAATGAGATTGCAATAAGTTTATATCACAAGCAGAAAGAATTATGACACACCCAAAGTTTGGAAGATGTTTAAAAATTGAAGTTTAAGAACCAATCACCATTTACTTCTAGTTTAAATGAGATTTCAAATTCTAGTTTTACCTGTCTTGTCATTACAGTCCCTGGTGTCTGGAGGTTTAAAAACCGATCACCATTTACTTCATGTCCAAGAAATATTTCAAGATCCTACATTTCAAAAGATATTTGTAAATCTATCCTTATTACTAAGCTAAACATATATGTAAACTTTACTTACTTCTGGTTAGTTGCATTCTTCCATTCATCTAATCTTGCTTTCCTTGATAGAAGATATGGCTGGAATGGGTGGAATATTGGATGAGCTCCACCTTGTTGCAACTGAACGGTAACATCTTCATCCGTTAGTGGTGGTCGCAAAGCAAATCCATGGCGGGTGGAATCATGACTTTCATCACCTTCGTCATCATTGGGATTTTCTGTACAAAAAACAAGAACAAATTCCCGTGTTTTTAAAGTTGGTTTTATAAAATAACATATTCACATGACATAAACTATTATTACCAACAACAACATTGGTAGCCTCACCGCCGCCACCATGATCTTCATCGATATCGCTAACATCAATAGGCGCATCAACATTGCCAGTACGATCTCCATCATTACTATTTGTAACATCTTTATCCTCACCATGATCTTCAACATTACCTTCTCTGTCGCTAGTATCAATAACATCATCTCCAAGATCTTTTCCATCATTGTTATCCTGACCATCTTTAGGATCTTTTCCATCATTGTTATCCTCGCCATCTTCAGGATCTTTTGGATCATTGTTATCCTCACCATCTACATGATGTTTTTCCTATAAATCATAAAAACATATTGTCAAAGCCCCGAAAACTAACTGAACATTTTAAACGGGATTAATAGATTCTTTTTTTTACCTCTGCTGCCTTAATCCCCACAAAAGCCTCTATGGTCTCCACTTTGCCAATCAAGGTTTTAAGCATCTCCATCATCTTGTCAATTTTGTCACTCTCAGTCACGAGAGGAGCCTCACGTGTTGTTCACCTAGGCTCCGCTCCTCTGTTATGTCGTGTCCGTATTTGTTCAGATGCTAAGACACCATCTACTTTTCCCTCTATCCACTCGGATCTGCTTAACCTATAGCCTTGCATTACAAGTTGCACCACCGTTGCAAAGTCTTTGTCAATGGGATTTGTTGGTGGAACCAGATTCTTATATTCTTCTGGATCCCCAACAACAGTATTGACTATAACCTGCAATCGCATAGCAGATACATTTATAAGAGTTTAATTAAACCAAAGAAAGCAATATTAAAAAATTCCACAATACGAAACTTACATCCCATTAATAGTGCACATCCAAAACTTCTGAAATATTAGGAGTCCGAGTGGCTTTCCACTGTAAACACAACGGGCCAGCAGACGAGCTTGAATCCAATCGACTCCCAAATGTCGTACCTAGCGCAGGCACAGCCGACAAAGCCCACAACGTGATTGCCCATGCCAATACTTGCACTTCATACTGACCTCTCGAAAATGTTTTTGCTTGCATCCTGCATATACTAGCAGATAGGACCTCGTATCCCATCTTCCCCCAAGGTCTCACAGAGTATCTATCGAAATTCAAAAACATTTGCAGACTCTCTTGCAGCAACTTTATCGTTGGATTCTTGGCGATTATAATCCCATGAGTCAATATAGCAGCTCCAAGAGAAAGTTTCTTCTCGTCAGATATAGTTTTCGCTCTGGTTTCAAGCAGCTCCATCAAACCTTTCACAGTGTACTTATCCTTTTCTCCCAACATCCAAAGATAAGCCTTTCTCACAAAACCTGTGTGTTGGGTTTTGTTTGGGTTCGAGTTCTTCTGGTTCTGGCTCCTAACAACACAATCCTGTGATTAGATAAAACTCTCTTAGAGAAAATCTCATCGGCTGGTCTGCAAATGCAAACCACAAGTCTTCTCCCTTTGTCAAAATTCTTCTTTGCATAAGGAAGTGGAAGATCTTTCCAGAAAACTGAATGTCCTCTCTCCTCTAGAGCTTGACAATTGGGCTGAGATAAGAGTTTTCGATTTTGGCGAACAATGTTTTTCCCAACACCTTTTCGACTCTTTGCACCAAGTTGAAGCTTGAGTGTTGCATGATTACACCCAGTTTGTCTGGTTCAGTTCCAGACTTATATATCCTTGGAGGCAATTTCCGTGTCGTATGCACTTCATCTTCCATCATCTGCAAAAGTTTTATAAAAGCAATATTAGAGCAAACGGAATAATATAAAGGAATCATATTCTATTAGAACCAAACTTTGTTTGCTTAATCAATCACTTCACAAGGATTCTACACACTAAACTGTTTGTCAATTGAAACATATGGAAAAAAGCCCAACATTTTTTGGCGACTAAAAACTTTATTTTTTATTTACCCAGAACTGAAAATCGAGCAAATTGACGCAAAATTGGTGAACATATATTCATAAAGCCTTATAATTTATTATAAATCTGTGCTCATAATACAATAAATTAAATCTCAACTACGAAACTAGGTTTTCCGGGAAAGAGAGAGAGAGAGAGAGAAAGAGCGAAAGACAGACAAAAATAGAGCGCGAAAGATGGAGAGCGAGAGTGAGAAGGAGACTAAAGGCGATAGAACAAACCTTTTGTAGATTTTTACAGATTATCTAAGATACGTTTGGCGAAGAATGGGAAAAGTTTTGGCTTTTTCTTACTTTTGCCAAAGAAGTTAAGCCATACACAACGCACGATGGGGTGTGGGGTTTCCGATAAGGAATTAAATTTTTTTATAAATAATCTTTATAAAGCAACTTTTGGATTTTTCTTGGACTCGTGTTTGAGCCTACATTTCAAACAGTACATATATCTCTATATTAACTATTACGCTCCAGTCATTGACAATTAAAACACCACAGCCTTGGGGGTTACACACGCCCTCTTCCTTACCTTCAGCACCATGGTTCAAGCAACCGTGGTCCTCGACTTTTTGAAAATATTTTTATAACCAATTTAAAACGTCTTTTAAATCTTTATAAATATTTATATAAAGCAATTTTTGGATTTTTCTTGGGCTCGTGTTTTGGGCCGTACATTTCAAACAGTACATATATCTCTATATTAACTATCACGATCGAGTCATTGACAATTAAAACACCACAGCCTTGGGGGTTACACACGCCCTCTTCCTTACCTTCAGCACCCTGGTTCGAATAACCGTAGGCCTCGACTTTTTGAATATTTTTTTATAGCCATTTTAAAATATCTTTTAAATCTTTATATAAAGGAATTTTTGAATTTTTCTTGGACTCGTGTTTTGGGCCCTACATTTCAAATAGTACATATATCTCTATATTATTTGTCACGCTCGAGTCATTGACCATTAAAACACCACAGCCTTGGAGGTTACACACGCTCTCTTCCTTACCTTTAGCACCCTGGTTCGAGCAACCGTGGGTCTCGACTTTTTGAAAATCTTTTTATAACCATTTTAAAACGTCTTTTAAATCTCAAATAAATCTTTATATAAAGCAATTTTTTTGATTTTTCTTGAGCTCGTGTTCTAGGCCCTACATTTCAAACAGTACATATATCTCTATATTAACTGTCACGCTCGAGGCATTAACAATTAAAATACCACAGCCTTGGGAGTTACACATGCCCTCTTCCTTACCTTCAGCACCCTGGTTCGAGCAACCGTGGGTCTCGACTTTTTGAAAATGTTTTTATAACCATTTTAAAACGTCTTATAAATCTTTATAAAAGCAATTTTTTGGATTTTTCTTGTATCCGTGTTTGGGCCTACATTTTAAACATTAGATATTCTCTATTTTACCTTTTACGCTCGATTCATTGATAATTAAAACACCACAGTCTTGGGGGTTACACACACCCTCTTCCATACCTACAGCACCCTGGTTCGAGTAACTGTGGGTCTCGACTTTTTGAAAAAAAAATTTTATCCATTTTAAAACGTCTTTTAAATCTCAACTAAATCTTTATAAATCTTTATAATTATTTAAAACTTCTTTAAATTTTATCCGACAAATTTTATAAAGATTGAAAAGGAAATTTAAAAACCTTTATAAAATGCATAATGAAACAACAATGTTTTTTGTGTCGTTTAAGTGGCATAATGATCCAAACACCATGAAATTTACACACTAAAGCAATGAACACTGGACTCTTTTAACTATAAATTTCGATATTGCAGTCTAGCATAATAAGAAAAAAAATCAAACTAATGATTTGAAAACAAGAAAGGGAATGTCTCTTCTCCTCTCCTCTGTGCATCTTTCCTCCATCTCCTGTCCCTATACACAATTAGATCTATAATGTAAGAATTTTTTTGTGGAATGCTTTACAAAAGATCACACTCTCGTTTTTTTTACCTTACTTGGCAAATTACGGTGCTAATAACTCTGAGAAGAGATCAGCAGCAAGCTTGAATCTTATATCCCCGATGTTTTCTTCAGAAAGCTTCGTCAAATCCTTGATGCGCATCGAGTGGGACTTTATTAATTTCAATAAAAAAACGCATGTATCTGCTATTTTAGCAACCTGATACAAAAGAAGAAGACAAATAAATATAACGCCATATTCAAAAGTTTACGGAAACATGATGACATTTATTTTCAAACAAGCACTTAACCTGTGGTACTTCTTTTGACTCTATTTGTATACTGAATGGAGAGATAACCATCATGTCATCCTGGGTAATTTGGCGAATGATGTAAGGAATTGGGTGTGCATACGCTCCAATATATGTATTGAGCTGTTCTTTCGAAATCTTTGATGTTGCACAGTTCAGTATGGTTATATTTCTCTTCACAAGATGAAAGATCAATGCAATCCAGCATTTATATTTGATCCTCAACGGTGTGTAGATAATGCGGATGTTTGTCTCTATGCCATGACTGGTGAATTCAGTCCCGAATTGAAACCCGTCCTTGTCATCTGCAAAAATAACATAAATCTCGTCTATTGCATTCAAGAACGATTCACCAACCATCAAAGCACTTTTGTTCAAAAACAAAAGAGGATTTTGTTTCTTTTGCATCCTCAATAACTCTAAAGCTGCTTCCATATACTATAAGACAAAAACAGACAATTTTAAAGATGCTCCAAATTTCAAGTAAAAACATTTTTTTTCCAGGACTCAAATGTCTATAAACTTACCGCTTTCGTAAATGCATTTCCTGCTGTCTCCAGCGTGGTAATCCACTTTGGATCTACGGTGATGTCATTAATTTTCAGTGGCCTGCATTATGAGTAGACAGTAACTGTTACAAATATGGCATCACATCTTTTATATAGATTACGAAAACTATGCTTACAAATTTGACTGTTTCCATTCCTTTATTTTCTCCATTCGCATCTTATCGACCGGCTCAAAAGGATGCATTAATGGATGTCTTTTCCTTGCTCCTGTGTAAGGTGGTTGTGTAAGAATCGAAGGCACCTATCCTCTCTGGCTTCTTCTTGCTGGCACTTCATCTGCTTGACATTTCCTAGATGCTTTATGTTTCTTTTTTTTAGATATTGGTTCAACTTCCTAAAATGCAAAAAACCATTTCGATGTTTAAAAAGTTCGACAAACTTGTAACTTAATCATATAATACAGGGAACCAATTCATTTACCTCTGTGTATCCTTCTGCAGCTCGTTTTCTTATTTTTCGTCACACTTTGTAAATCGAATAATCCTCTTTGAGAATTTGTTACATTTGCTTCAATACCCTAGTCAAAATTAAGAATTTTCAAAACTCTAGAATCAGCAATACTAGTTGAATATATCCCATAAATTGTTTGGTAAAAAGTGTTCAATTACCTCCTCATTGTCTTTGTCATCAGTTCTTTGTCTGCTAGTATCACCTGCATTGTCTTTATTTATGCTGTTTTGTAAACTGTTTTGGGAAAGAAGATTGAATCTTGGTGTAATAGGCGATGAAACATATACAAGCATAACAACAAAGATGAGATATAGCACTCTATTTATCAATGGAACACAGCCTTAAGTTAAAAAAATATAACAGATTGGCATTTCTACTTTACCTCGGGGTTTTTTTTTCTCACCACAATCTGCAGTTGCCGTACGAGATATATCATTATTACAGCTATTTAAAGCTTCATCGTCGCCAAGTGTTTGGGTACTTTGAAAAATAACTTCTGTATCTTCATTGTATCCAACAGAAAAAAATAAACCAACAAGCATTATAAGAAATTAATTTTTGGATTCAAACAAGTAGTAAAGATGAATCATCTTTGCCTTTAACAACAGTTGTAGTTTCCTCGTCGCCAAGATCTTGTGTTTCTTGAAACAAAACTTCTGTTTCTTCATCGCAAATACCAATAGAACTAGCATTTTTACCATTAACACCACCAACAAAATCAGCTGTTTCTTCAACAACACCATGTTTTTGTGTATTATCATCATCGGCAGCATAACTGTCATCTGAATTTGCTTCACGCCGAGAATTCTCTTTCTCTGTTTCTTTCTGCATGCCATCTTCAGAAAAATTTTCATTTTCCTATAAAATAAAAAATCAAACAATGCTCTATCATCAGAATCAAACATCTTGATAAATATTTTTATACTGTCTATTTTTACCTCTGATCGCTTGCCATCTGCTTCGTTTTCTTCTGGAATCCCCAAGACTTGCTGGATGATCTTCACTTTCCTGGTCAAGATCACAAGCATATTGAGTATCTTGTCAAGTTTTTCACTGTCAGTAAAAGGAGGAGGATCTGTGGTTGTTCTAGGCTCTGCGTTCCTTGCTTGCTGTGTCAATATGTATTCAGATGCAGTAACAACATCTAACATGCCGCTTATCCAGTCGGCTCTCCTCAATCTGTAGCCCTGCCTGACTAGTTCCACAACCGCTGCAAAGTCCTTGTCAATAGGATTCATTGGTTGAACCAGGTTCTTATATTCCTCTTGATTTCCAACAACAGTATTGACTACAACCTGCAAACGCATAGCAAATACAATTTTTTGTAAAGCTTTATTATTGCATCAAAAACAGTATCTATAATCAAATAAACTGAGAATCGCTTACATTGTTTATCTGCTCTACACGAAAAACTTCTGAAATAGTACGAGTCCGAGTGGCTTTCCACTGTAAACAGAACGGGCCTGCAGACGAGCTTGAATCAAATCGACTCCCAAATGAAGTACCTAGCGCTGGCACAGCCGACAAAGCCCACAACGTGATTGCCCATACGAATCCTTGCACTTTATACGCAACTCCCAAACCCCTAAAAGCTTTGTGACTTTATCTACATAGAGTAGGTTCGAATGTTGCAGGACTACAATTGTGTTCTTTGGTTCAGTCCCGGGTTCATATATCCGTGCAGGCAATTTCAGTGTTGTATCGAATTCTTCATCCATCATCTACAAAGTTTTACAATAACAATCTGTTTTAAATCAAAACTTGAATTACATTCAAATGTAAATTAAACAGAACAGTGTTATTATCTATTCGAAACAAGATGAAAAAAATCACCCAGAATCAAAAACAAAGAAACAAAGGAAAACTTATGGCTAAATGATACTCGTATGATGTTTTTCAAAACTGGTGAAATGATAGGAAACTAGGGACATAGGGAAAAAGATAGAGAGAGAGAGAGAGAGAGAGAGAGTGAGAGAGAGAGAGAGAGAGAGAGTGAGAGTTTATAAAGGCTTAGAAATCTTTATAAATCGGCAACCACAAAGGAGCTAGTGAAACAAATCGGAATTGCAACGAAAAACAAATTGGTGATTCACAATTCACGAATCACATATCTTTCAAAATCGGTAACTACAGCGAAACAAATCACAAATTTAACCAAAACAAATTCGTGATTCTCAATTCGCAAATCACAAATCTTCAAAATCGTAACAACAATAGATTCAGCAAAACAAATCACAGTTTAAACGAATAAAATAACGAATCACATACCTTCTCCGAGTAAAACAAATCTGAAGTTTCCGATCACGATTCGTGGATAGTTTTTTCACCAACTCTCTCGACTCACGAAGAAAAGTATTGAGAATGACCTAGTGATAATTTCGCCAACTCTCTCTCTCTCTCTCGACTCGTGATCAGAATTTTCCTATCATAATTCACAGATCGTTTTTTGCCAACTCTATCTCTCTCTCTCTCTCGACTCGCAGATGAATTTTGATTTCTGATAACCTAGGAATAAATTTGTAATTTTAATAGTTAAATAATTGTATTCATAAAAATATTCACCTTGTTGTAGTATTATTGAACAGTGGTACAATGAACGGTGTATTTTTAAAATTTTCCCTTTTATCTTTATTTTATTTGTTGACAAAAATGTATTTACAAAGCTGCCATTATGATATAATTAATAAAATAGTAATTACAGTATTTTTAAGTCTGCCATAACTAAGCCAATAGACTTTCATAGTCTGGTATACTTTTTTTTGCATACGTGGCTGATTAATAGATTTAATGTTATTAATGACAGATTTAAATCAGAAATGTTTATTTTTCAGTAGATTTATTATGAAATTTGTAGATTTTTTTTTTGTTTTTGATAATAGATTAGTTATGAATTCATAGATATTTTAATTATAATTGTAGATTTATCAGTAATGAATGGTGATTAGTATGATGACAGATTTATATTGTCCGAATGTTAGCTTTATTTTGGTGTAATAGAATTATTATTAATTGGGGTATAATTATTAATTCAGAATTGTATGTAAGGTCTTCGGAGCAATGAGTGTAGATTTACTCGTTGTGTTGATAGATTTGTTAAACATCTGTAGATTTTCTAAAGATGGTGGTAGATCTACACAATTTTTTTGTAATTACTTAAATTATCTTCAATCGGTAGATTTATTGCTGCATGTTGCGCAAAGTTTTATATTCAATATGGTAGTGTTCGGGAGCAAATTATGTGTTGCTTACAGAGGGTGTTTGTTCATCCGGGTTGATGAGCTGAACCTCGCAAGTTTTTCCTCTGAGGGTATGAGCGGTATGCGGTTCCTGGGTGAGAAATTAATTGAGTAGGTCCTGCAACATTCACAACGGGTAAGCCGGGACTTCGGAAAACCAGAAAATGGTTTTCCTTCTGAATGTTCTCCGATACTCAAGTTAGATTACGTTCTAACGAAAATGGATTATGAAGGGTGGATAAAGAGTGATGGTTTATGGTTTGGATACCCCGTCCGAGGATCGTGATGTCTCTGCTATTTGGAGTAGGGAGAGCCTAAGGTAAGTGGACCATTGAGAGAGTGGGGTTTGAGCTCTCTCTTGATGGCGGTAAGAACAAAGAGTTAGGGAAGAAGAGAACGCTTATCTCGGTTGTCATTTTTTTCCGAGGGGCATTGACGGCATCCCTAATAGGTGTAAAATTCTATCCAAATAATATTACTGCATGTGCACAACAAAGCAGTTATAGCATAAGAAGTTATTAAATTCCAAGGGATTTTAATTGTTACACGTCAGACCTTGGGTTTAAACTAAGCTAAAAGAATGAATAAATGTGATGCAAAGAACTAGTAAAAAAGTACATTGATTTTAAATGTGTTAAAATCAAAGAGACGGTCGCTAGGCCTTGGAAAATATTTAGACTGAATTCAAAACTGCAGAATGAAAACAATTAAAATATTTATTTATAACTCAAAACACAATTGTAAAGCCAATAAACTTTGCAGATATTATCTATGTAAAATTCTAATTTTTCTTTTGCAAATGCAAATAATCCAAACTAGCACTAAAGTTCAAGTTCGATTGTTCACAATCTCTAAACCAAATTTCCTTACAGATAGATATTTTACTCATCTAAGATAGTTATGAACATTAATAATACTTTTGCATCTCTTACTTAAACTTATATTTGATTTCTAGTTGATCAATCTTAGAATCAGTGTTATTATAATCTAGATGAAGAGGTAACATATTAATTCTAACAGTATTGCGAATCTAACAATTCAACATCAACCTTTGGATAACCAAAAATCAAACTAACAGATTACTTAGACATGGTGAATTGAGATAACATAATGAAAGAAATAAATTGCATAAAAGAAAAGAGTAAGGATACAAAAGGGTTTTGATATTCTACTCTAATGAACATAGTTGGATTTGTCTCCACAAAAGCTTATGATCTAATCTCTCTTTAAGTCTCAATAGAAAAAAGAACTGTCTATTAATGGTTGTCAAAACCTAAATACAGTCTAAAACACGAGTGAGGCAAGTGTGCAAGTAAGTAAAACTTTTGGGCCAACTTGTAAATCTTCATTTCTTTTTAATTAACTCGGGAAATGTTAGCTTTGATGGATGACGAGTGACACCAAGGGCTGGAATTGAGCGCCAATGCAGATTTCAGCTCCAAGCTGGTCTTCGCAGCAACAATCTTCGGTTTTGCTTTGGAATGCTCCGATATCTCCAAATAAGCTCCAAACATGTCTAAAAACCTGTAAAGGCTCGAAAAGACTCGAAAAGACTCTAAAAGTACCAAACCAACTTTATAAATAAGACCTATATCATGGTCATAAACCCGGAAAAACTATGATATATTAACTCCCCAAGACTTAGTTTTTGCTTGCCCTCAAGCAAAACAGAAAACTAAGAATATAGTCAAAGTTTGAAAACAGTAACTCTCGGCAAATCTTAAGAATGCCACATTGACCAACAGTCTTGAATCCACATACCACAGAGACGAGATTAAATAGTATGTTAGTGTACTTACTACAAGCTTAGCAATCTATAAGATATGGTTTAAGCCCTTAAAATAAATTCGAAATCGCCATTGATACCCCATTTATCAATTACGCATGCGCTCTCATCGAGGGAGTATCGTTCAAAGAACTTACAGATTCTTTCCCTTCCAAGCTCTTGAACACATATTCTTGGTACAACTCTCTTATTTTCTCTTCCCTTAGTCGATTTCTCCCTACTTTGTCATTTCTATTTTTTTATTGATTTTTGTTTTTATATAGCTCAAGAATGGTGCCACTCACTTTCGTGCTCCTTGTGAGGAGACATGTTCATATATGTAGGCTCACCTTTCCAGTTCTTTTCATGGAACTCAGGCTGCAGTTATTAAGCTTAGCATATTACTCTTTTTTATATAAGAAAAATATCAAAGAGAAACTGCACCTAATTTATCTTGTCAGTGCTGAAAGAGAAGTTTGATGTATACTAAGCCCCAAGATGAAAAGTTAAAGTTCATTAGGGCGGAGCTATCAGTGGCATTTCCGAACTCTCCAGAAGCCTGAACTTTCTCTGTTAGATTGATATGCTCATAGTGTTCTAACTAATAAAACCTGCAATCAATAACTATGGCAATGGTCCTTCAAGTTTCATTGTTTTGGGGTTAGTACCAAGAAAAGCTCTTAGTTTCAATTAAGTTTTGACTCAACAAAAAAATATGGGATGACACAACTGGTTCTCAAAAACAAACACAATGTCATCAACTACCTCTGATAGACTTAAACAACAATGTCCACATTGTTATCAAGTCTGGAGTTGGTAGAAAGAAGAATTGGAACTGATAAAGTTGGGTTTTAATAAGACTTATCTTGACCAATTAATGGTGATGAGCAACACAAGAGGGTGTCGGGCGTCACTGATGGGTGGTGTAGGCTCCTGTGTCGAGCGAGGTTGTTAAGCGTCCGTCGATCCTTTGTTTTGTTTTGTTTTTCTTTATCTTAAACACTTAAGTTAGAAAAAATGAAATATGTACACTTACCTGTGGGTTGCCTCTCACTAAATGCTTG